AGAGGCTGGGCTGACGCCTGGCGCAGGTGCCCTGCTGGGTGGTGCCTAGCAGGGGAGAAAAAGCTCCAACGCCAGAAATGAAGGAGGGAGGAGGACCTCGGAGGGGAGGAAGAGGAGGCGCAGAACCAGGAGACGGAGTTTGGGGGAACAACTGCTGCGGAGCGCGCAGGACCCAGAGGACTCAAAGGGGACCTGGAGGGTGACGACGCCTTCGTGGCCGGGGGTGAAGAGGAGGAAAGCCGCGCGGGCGGAGAAGCGCTGGTGGGTCCCAGGCTGGAGGCTGCGGGTCTGAGAGGCTTCGGAAGCCCAGGGCAGCCCGGGCCACGCCTGAAAACGAGGGCAGCTGAGCGCAGGCCAGGGAGAGGCGCCCGCGTCCGGGACCGGCCGCGGTGGGAGCTAGACTCGCGAACCCGGCGGGCCTGAGGCTGAGACCTGCGCGGGGGCGAACGCGGCACAGCCGGGGGGCCGGTCCCGCGGGCCCCGCCCCGCCACGCCCCCCAGCCTGGAGCCTCGGCCCCCGTCCGCAGAGGAGACGGCCCCGGAAAAGCCAGAGGGTCTTGGAAGGGAGCTCGGGACGGAGCCGGCAACAGCGTCCGCGACCCGCGACCCGCTACCCGCGACCCGGCTCTGAAGCGGGGACGACCGGAGCTTCTGCCCGCAGCCCAACCTCCCAGGCGCCCGGCAAGACTGGCTGGCGCGGACCCTTTAAGGAAGCCGGGGGCGTGGCGTCGGGGCGTGGCCCGGGGCGGGGCTTCAGGGGCGGGGCCCGGGCGGGGCCTTCGCGAAGCTGCCAGAAGATGCGGCCCCAGAGCGCCCGCGAGCGGCGCGGTGAGACATGGCCTCGTGCAGGTGAGTCTGGCGCGCGGCGACCCAGAATCCTGGACCCCAGGAAAAGCGCCTACGGCCTCGACGGGTGGGCGTGGCGAGATGCCACCCGGGACCTCCTCGCGCTCCCAGCTGGGTCGCCCCTCAGACCTGGGGTCCCGGACTCCTGCCGTCCTCCACCCTCAGGCCCTGCCGGGACACTCTGGTCCCTGGCCCGCCAGGCCTGGCCTCACTCAGGCGGGTGGAAAGGGCTGCAGAGGTTGGGCCTAGGTGAGGGTCAGCAGCACCCCTACCCGGGGGAAGGTGCCTTGCGGGTGGCGGGCACAGCCTCTCCCTCTGTCTTCTTACTCCGTGCCCTGCTCCAGACTCCCTTTTTGGCCACCGGGGATGCAGTCTGTTGGGGGGCACCCCGCTTTTCCTAGTCCTGAAACTGAGGCAGCAACACCAGGGGATCCTGGAGGTGAAGCCCTCTGCCCTCCCCACCCAGGCGTGGCCTGTCCACCTACCAGGACCCGGTTCTCTGGAGGACTCACTTCCCTTCCAGACCCCCCGGGGCCCAGTGTGGAGGGTGGATCCCTGTCTGGTCGCGGGGCTCAGGGCCGGGGGTGCGTGGGAGCTGGGACGGGCCGCAGGTCGGGCCTGCTTCCTGCCTCCAGAGAGGGGATGGTACGTGTACGGCAGCCGGGCACTTCCTGCCCTTTCTGCTTGACCCCTGCACCCTCCGTGTGTGCCCACGCATGCAGGCTCACCCTGCAGCGTGCATTGGCGGTCAGCCGGGAGCTTCGGAGGTGACAGCCACTCGTCACCACTTCCCAGCTCCAGGCGCAGCACCCAGAGCCCCCTCCTCTGGAGCTTGAGGCTTGGTGAACCTGGAGCTCACAGCAGTTGCTCTGTGACCCTGAGTGACCCCCAGGTCCATGAAGGAACCAACGGCTCACAGGTCTTCTCCCGGCCTGAGCTCAAGGTCCATAACCCAAAGTAGAGACCCTTGACCCACCCTGCCCAGCAGTGCCCCAGCAGGCAGGGGCCTGGATCGCTAGGGCAGAGGCCCAGGTGTGTGGGGGTCCCAGGCAGCCTCCAGCACGGTCTTGGGCTTCTCAGGCGTGGGAACAGTGGACTGAGTTGGATCACTGAGAATCTGTCCGCCGAAAGCCCGGTGCCTGTCATGTTTAGCGTCCAGCCGGAACCCAGGAAGGAGGGGGCTGCCTGTGTACTGTCCATTTCAGGCACTGGTTGGCAGGACCCCTGGGCAGAGTGCTGGTGCCCAGGGAGAGCCATGTGCCTGTCATCGGCCTGTGACCCGGGGCCTGCCTGGGAAAGCCCGGGGCTGGACTCCGCCGCAACCTGGCCACCCCCTCCGCGCCCCGCCCTGGGACAGCCATTTGGACTGTCAGTCCTCTGGCCCCTGAGACCCTGCCCACAGCCCTATCAGGCCTGGGCAGTCCCAGCCAAATCCCGGGGTAGATCCACCACGCTGCCCCCAGCCCCCTCCTCGTGGTCTGCCACGTCAGCGTCACCTCTGTGGACACCACTCAGCCCTGGGGCTCCCGTGCAGCGCGGCGGGGCTGGCAGGGTTGTGCCCTGTGCGTGTCTTGCAGCAATGATGGTGTCTGGGTCCTGGGTCCCTCAGGGGTGGACCCGCCGAGCTCCTGGGTTTCCTGTGCTTCGGGGGCTGGGGAGGGAATCGTGACTGTGGCTGGTGTCGGGGGCAGAGCCCACCCTGGTTGTGGTTCCTCTGGGTCCTGAGGGGTCAGCCCTGGGGGCTGCAGGAGAGACCTGGAGGGTCTAGGGAGGGAGGTGGAACGGGCACTTCCCGTGCTCTGAGACCCTCTCCCTGGTCTGCACACCTGGCACCATCAAGATGCAGGTGTGGCCAGGCCCCAGCGTGGGGGAAAGCAGCCCCCATATGGTGTGTGTGTGTGTACATGTGTGTTTGTGGGTGTGTGTGTGTGTGTGTTTGCGGCCCCCATACTGCATGTGTGTGTTTTTATGTGTGTATGTGTGTGTGTTTGTATATGTGTGTGTGTGTGTTTGTGTGTGTGTTTGTGTGTGTTTATGTGTGTGTATGTGTGTGTATTTGTGTATGTGTGTTTGTGTGTGTGTGTGTTTGTGTGTGTGTGTATGTGTGTGTATGCCGCCCCCATACTGGGTGTGTATGTGTGTGCGTGTTTATGTGTGTGTATGCCACCCCATACCGTGTGTGTGTGTTTTTGTGTGTGTATGTGTGTGTATTTGTGTATGTGTGTTTGTGTGTGTGTTTGTGTGTATGTGTGTTTGTGTGTGTGTTTGTGTGTGTGTATGCCGCCCCCATACCGGGTGTGTGTGTTTGTGTGTGTGTGCCGCCCCCATACTGGGTGTGTGTGTGTGTTTATATATGTGTGTGTGTGTGTGTGTATGTACATTGACAAGCCATTCACGAACCCTGCAACCCACACTTCTCCTCAGGGGGAGTCCCAGTGTCCCAGGGCTGGAGCCGTCCCCACTACGGATGAGACACGAAGACCAGGGCCATGCAGGGAGCTGCAGCAGCCGGTGGTCAGTCTGGGTCAGGGTGACCTCTTGGGTGACCTTATCTGTCTGGTGTCATTAGACCTGTTGGGGGACCTTGGGGGTCTGAAACCCAGTGTGTCCTGCCCACTGCCAGTCCCCTCGCCCCTCCCGCTGTGGGCCCTGTCACCAGGGTAGAGCTGAGCCACTGGCCCACCATGGAGCCAGGACCCCTTCGGCACAGAGGTGACCCTGGGCCCTCTAGAGAGGGTCCAGGCCTTCCAAACCTCTCCTGCCTGAGCAGCACCACGAGAGGGAGGGATGGGAGCTGGGAACCTGGGCCGCGCCCTCTTCCCCCACGCCTGCTGGGCACCCAGCTCCACCTCCAGGCCCAGGTGTGAGGCCCACGCTCAGCCTGGGATTGCACTGGGCTGGCCGGGAGCGGGGAGTGGGGATGTGGTGATGCTGGGGGCGGTGGTGTGATCTGCTGCAGCCTCGGGGCCCCGCCCCTGGAGATTTCCACGCGACAGACTTGGTGGCAGCTTTCGGGCAGGAGAGAGGGTTGGAAAGTGTGATGGAGGGGTCACATGAGGTCTCTCCCCGGCTCTGTGTCTCCACCCCTGTCCCTGCCTCCACACCCTGGGCGTCGCCCGTCTTGGGGTAGAGGCTGAGGCTGTGGGGCTGGGGAGGGGCAGCAGGTGTGGGATGTGGTTCAGCAGAGTGGGCAGCCCAGGCCGGGGCTGGAAGCTGCCTCCTGGGTTCCCATCCGTTCCCCTGGCCCCGCAGCATTTCAGTGCCGGCCCGGGGATGCGCTTACCCTTTCCCGGTGGCCTCACCTGCTCTCCTGTGACTGGCCCTGGAGGTCACCACGTGGCGCTCCTCCTCCAGGAAGCCTTCCCTGGTAGCCTCCCCCATGGCCACTCAGTGGGAACTGCCCCCAGGTCTGGCTCCCCCATGGAGCCAGTTTCCTGGGAAGGAGCTTAGGGCGCCAGGCCCAGCAAGTGCCCAGGATGTGCCTGGCGGGTGATCCCCCCTTCCCCACAGGCCAGGTGTAGATGGAGGTGTTGCTCACTGCTGGGTGGCCCTGCACAGATCGTCTGAGCTCCTGAGCCTCCCTGAACCAGTGTGCAGGCCCTGGGGCGCCATGAGGCTGGAAGGGGGCCGACCTCACGGGCTCTTGTCTAGAGGCGAAGACACAGGGAGAGAGTGAACGCAAATGTGGGTGCTGCCTGCCATTATCAGCGCTGAATGCTGAAGCAGGGACAGGGATGGGGCTGCAGGGCCAGCCCGGGAGGGCCCCTCTGGAGGTGTGTGCCGTACCTCATGGGGCAGGCCCAGCAGGCTGGCCAGGCCCGGGTGGACAGAATTTTGCGTTTCCCGAGAGCCGTGGCTTGGCTATGGGGTCAGAGTCAGGCAGAACAGAACCAATAGTCCCGGCAGGCCGAGGCGGTCGGGGGAGAAGTGGTCAGCTCTGGGCACCCTTTTTTTTTTTTTTGAGATGGAGTCTCGCTGTGTTGCCCAGGCTCTAGTGCAGTGGCGTGATCTCGGCTCACTGCAACCTCTGCCCCCGCCCGGGTTCACGCGATTCTCCTGCCTCGGCCTCCAGAGTAGCTGGGATTACAGGTGTGTGCCACCACGCCTGGCTAATTTTTGTATTTTTAGTAGAGACGGAGTTTCACCATGTTGGCCAGACTGGTCTTCAACTCCTGACCTCGTGATCCACCCTGCTGGGATTACAGGCGTGAGCCACTGCGTGTGGCCTCTGGGCACCTTTTGAAGGTAGGACGAGAGGAACTGATGGATCGGAGCCGGCGGGGAGTGCCGAGGGGGCTGGAGGCAGGGCCGCCACCCTTGCCCGCGTGGGGAAGATGAAGAACAGGGTGTGGGGGGCAGGGACAAGACCAGGAGCTTTGGGTTTTGAAGACGGTGGGAACGAGGTGCTGCTGGCTTTCCAAACGAAGCTGCTGAAACCAGGTGTCTGAGTTTGGAGCTCAGAGCAGAGGTGGCGCTGGACGGGCTGAGGCTCTGCGCAGACAGAAGAGCCAGGGCCTGTGGGCTCCCATCGAGGAGGAGGAGGACAAAGGGCCCTGGCCAGGGCAAGGTGGGAAGCCGGGAAACGCAGCCTCCGCACAGCCACGCGGAGAAGGCGCCGTTGGAAGGAGGTGGCACGGAAGGCCTTGGAGGCTGCTGAGGACCGGCTGGGCCCCAAGGTCCATGGGGACCCTGAGAGCCACGTCCTCTGTGGGCTTGGAGGGCGGGACACAGCTCTGGAGACACGGGAGAGGACTGGCCGTGCCGACCAGCACCACAGTGTTCCTGAGTGGTGGCAAAGTTGCTGTTGCTGAATTTTATTATTATTACTTTATTTTTATTTTTTGAGACGGAGTTTTGCTGTTGCTGCCCAGGCTGGAGTGCAGTGGCGCGATCTCGGCTCACTGCAACTTCTGTCTCTCAGGTTCATGTGATTCTCCTGCCTCAGCCTCCCGAGTAGCTGGGATTACAGGCACCACCACGCCCAGCTAATTTTGTGTTTTTAGTAGAGACGGGGTTTTACCGTGTTGGCCAGGCTCGTCTCGAACTCCTGACCTCAGGTGATCTGCCTGCCTCGGCCTCCCGAAGTGCTGGGATTTCAGGTGTGAGCCACCGTGCCCGGCCATGAATTTTAATTCATTCACATTTACAAATCACACAGCTATACGTGCTTCTTCCGGGAGAAGCTGTGCTCAGAGGGGAGCAGAGGGACGGGATCTGCAAGGAGTGGAGTGAGGGCCCGAAGGAGGAGGAGGAGCTGGGGCCCCAGGAGACGGACCTGGCCAGGGTGGGCTGGAGCTGGGGATGGGGTCCTACTATCCCCTTCCCTCCCTCCCTCGCTCCCCTTCCCTCCTTCCCCCCTTCTGCCTCTCTTTCCCTCCCCTTCCCTCCCTCCCTCCCCGGCTCCCTCCATCCCCTCCTTCCCTCCACCCCTTCCCTCCCTCCCTCCCTCCCTCAGTCACTCACTCTTTTTTGCTGACATTCTGGCCTCTGGGGCTGCCACCCGAGTACAGTGTAGTCCTGGGCTCTGGAGTCCTGTGCCTCGAAAGTAAGGGGCAGTTGTGATCTCGGACGTGGGCTCCAGGGCAGCCCTGACCTCGTGGGGGGCTGTGGAGCACCTCCTTCTCCCCATGCCCCGAGGCTTTCTCAGCAGCCCCGTCCACTCCCACCCCCCAACCTCCCACGGCCAGGTCTGGCAGCCCCGTCACTCACCCCCCCAACCCTCCACGGCCAGGGATCTCCAGCAGCCCGTTCACTCCACCCCCCCAACCTCACTGCCAGGGTCTCGGGCAGCCCCGTCCACTCCGCCCCCCAACCTCACGGCCAGGTCTCAGCAGGCCCCCGCACTCCACCCCCAACCTCCATGCCAGGGGTCTCGGCGCCCCGATCCACTCCACCCCGACCTCACGTCCCAGGGTTCTCGGCAGCTCCGTCCACTCCACCCCGCACTCCACTGCCAGGGTGCTCGGGCAGGCCCCGTCACTCCACCCCCAACCTCACGGCCAGGGTCCTCGGCAGCCCGTCACTCCAACCGCACCTACCACGGCCAGGTCTCGGCAGGGCCCCGTCCACTCCACCACCGCAACCTCCACGGCCAGGGTCCTCGGCAGCTCCGTTCACTCATTCCCCAACCTCCACGCCAGGGGTCGGGCAGCCCCGTACTCACCCCCCCAAACCTCCACTGCCAGGGTCTCGGCAGCCCCGTTC